ATCAGGAGAGCCATACTCCTCCAACAAGCTCTAGAGAATTCCTTCCTTGCCTCTTCCAGCTTCTGCTGTGACCTCTGCCGTGACCTCTGCCTACATCCTGACATCGCCTTCCCTTTTGTGTCTCTCTCAAAACTCCCTCAGCACCTCTCTGATGAAGCGTGCGTGTGATCGCATTATCCCATATAATCCAGGATAAGCCCCTCCTCACTAGACCCTTCACTTAATCCCATCTTTTACGGTAGGAGGTCACTTTCCCAAGTTCCAGAGATTTGATGTGGTTATCTTTTGGAGGCCCATTTTTCAAGGGGCAGATGTGGCTCAAGCTGCAGCTAGATTCAGGACCCCAGACAGTATTACCGGGTCCCTCCTTGATTCCTGTTTTATCTGTCTGGTCTGCAAAGCTAGGTGGAGCTTAAAATAGAGAATGCCATGATATAGGAAACCCTAGCCTACCTCATGCTCAGTCAACCTGATGGCCACTTATGGAAATCTATCACATAGAAGAGGGCCTGGGTCGAGGCCACCCTAAGCCTCTGCTCCTGATGACAGATCTGGCAAATCTCCTCTCTGAAATAGACCCTAGGGTTCAGGCTCACTGGGATGGGAATAGAGACAGGGAACATGTTCTAACACGTGTCCCCAGGGAGTATAGAAATTGGGCTTTATTTTTCTGCATCCCTTGCCCAGGCATCTCCACTCAGGGTAGGACAACAGAGTCTGGCTGTAGCCAGAGCCAGCAGGGAAGGTCAGAGCAAGAGCTGAGAAGCAGCATCTGTGCATGCAGCCTCCCTCCCCAGGGGCTGAGTGACAAAGCATTCCTCCCTTCTGCTGGCCACTTCCTGGGAAAACCAGGCATGGAAGCCATAAAACAGTATCGCGGTAAGTCCAGGCATATTAGAAATTATGATAAATGTAATCTGCAGTATTCATCTATTAAAAATACAGAGTTTCTTGCTGGATCAAAAGACACCTGTATTTTGTTGCCCACTCTGCGCCTGAGCTGTTGCTAGCCACGCGCACTCCCCACTGCTCTCCCATGGGCCAGCAGGCGGTGGGGGGTAAGGTGAACCCACCGCTCACCTTACATGGGCAGGTGCTGCAGAGGGAGGGCCAGATCCGGGCTGAGCGAGGCCTTGCACTTGACAGGTGAGCTCTGAGGTTGAGAAAATGGATTCCAGTGAACCGGAGACCCGGACAATGGAAACGAAGGGAGACCAAAGGAGTGTTTGAAAATCTCCTTCCAGACAAGCTTGTGTTGCTTCTGGAGTACCCCTTGGAGCAGAAGACTTCTGAACCCTGAACTCTGCAAAGCCTGGAGAAGACATACCACCTCCCCCAGCAGGACACAGAGGTTCACCAGGGGTGGTGTGAACTCATTGTTAGGCACAAATACACAAAAGCTTACCAAGATGTGGAGAGATTCTTCCTTGAGGTTCAGGCCATGGGCATATACATGTACCGGGGAGCTGATGGTGAGTGAGGATGCCAGACGGTCGCAGGTCGCCCGCAGGTGCTTTGAGCTGAGCAAGGAGCAGGTGGACAGATCCTCAGCTGAGGTGGTGGCTGAGATGTTGTCCTGAAGAGGAAAGATCACAGTTCATGCATCTACTCCTAGGTCTGGTGGGAGCAGGATGGCAATGACCCTGGACATCAAAGAAAGGGTCATGGGGCTGCTATAGCCAGCAACTAGTAGAAGCATCCAGGTCTTGGTGCTTCTCCTTCCAGAGGCTTCTCTCCCTAGAGCTCAGCTACTGCGTGGTGCCTTTGCCCCCTGCCCTGAACTTGCCACCTCAAGATACTGAATCTGAACTGGATCTCTTCTGTTAAGGCAGTTCTTTCACACAGATGATGAAAACTGTCAGAGATACATCAGAAAACCTGCTGAACATTTTGCATATTGCAGCATATGGCTGCACTAGATATTTCTAGAATTCCAGGAAGTCACAGAGATTCTGTATACTGGGACTAGTGAACACCATTTGATATTCTTCTCTGGGTCATTTCAGAAAGATTCTGCAGAATTATTTTGATGGATAGGTCTGTTGTTTAGATTTTTCCAAAACTTTTAAACCCTTGCTAAAAGGGCAGGGTAAGAATCCAAGATGTATTGATAATGAAACATAGTGGATTACTATTTTTATATTCCTGTGTGCTTCTGAATTTAATACTGTTTTAAAAAAGAGAAGAATGGTGTTACCCAAGAGGTATCCTCTGCAAGCTGGTTCTGTCCCTCTCCCGCCCACCAGTCTCCTTGTCACTTTCCTGGATGGTTCCAGGAGCATGAAGGGTGTGCTCCTGCCCTGATGAGGCACAGCTGGAGCCTGTGGGGCTGTCACCCCTTCCACGAGCACACATACAAGGAAACCAAGCTTGCATGTCCGGAAGGAGGACGGTGTGAAACCATGAGAGAGAGGCCGTAGTGGTCTGTGCAGTCCTGAGATTGTGCCATGGGCTGCGATGAATGAGAATGGTTTGGAGCCTGGTTCCAGGCTGTGTTCACCTGGCTCTGCATCTGGCCTGTGGGGGTAAGTGTGGCTTTAACACATTCCATCATTAGAAGCTCTTGGTCAGAATTCTCTACTGGTGACTGTTATTCTAGAAGGTTTACTGGCGGGGGGTGGGGGTTGGTGCTGCTCTTCACTGTTACATGTGCTCTACGTATGACTGTATGTGCTTTGTTTACAAATCCTTTGGTACAAGAATCAAATTTTGATTTTTGAATTTTAATAAATGCAAGAATGCTGAAAAAAGACACCTGTATTTTGTTAACAAAACGTGATGGAAGTTGAAAATAAGGCAGTGGATAAAAATATAGCAGGGGTTCAACTTGTTAAAATCACTGTGTTGTACACCTGAAACTAATTTAACCTTGTGTATCAATGTGCTTCGATTTAAAAACACACAAATGATCCAGGAGAGACTTCCACTTCTGATAATGCTGTGATAAGTAATTAGGATTAATTACTGGAAAATACTGGAGAATACTGGAAGAACTGATCAAAATATATATTTTTTTAATTATGCTTGAATGGATTGAAAAGTAACAATATAGGAGCTCCTGGGTGGTTCTGTCCATTAAGCATCCGACTTCGGCTCAGGTCATGATCTCATGGTTCGTGGGTTTGAGTCCTATGTCAGGTTCTGCGCTGACAGCTCAGAGCCTGGAGAGTGCTTTGGATTCTGTGTCTGCCTCTCTCTCTCTGCCCCTCCCTCGCTTATGCTCTCTCTCTCAAAAATAAGTAGACTTTAAAAAAAAAGGAAAAAAATTAACAATATAGTAAAAAATTTCTGGGCCGTGATCTAAACTACGAAAGAAATTAAAAGATGCAAGCCTGGCATTTGGAGGTTGTCCAACACCTATATCTCCAAGCAGGTGCTTCCCGTGCCTTCCATGTGTCCCTCCCACCTCTGCCTGCATCTTCCAGCCTACACCTGTCTTCCCCTACCCCCTCATCCTGTTAACTTCACACTAACACCTTCCAACCTTAGATGGCCTCCTCTCTACATACCCCCTTTTTGTGGCTTTATTAAGTGCTTCTTAATAGAGTTTGATGAGTTTTCATAATTCTGTATTCCCTGATAACCACCATCCAAAATAAGGTAAACAAATTTCTCTTTCTTTGTGCTGTTTGCAGGCAACACTTCTTACATTTTACCCCCAGATGTCAACTCCATTCTGAATTATCTTATCTATCGTTTAGTTTTGCCTGTTTTCTAACTTTATATAAATGGAATCATCCTGTGAATGCTCTTTGATGTCTTTCATTTAGCATAATGTTTTTTGAGGTTCATCTGTTATCATGTGTATCAGTAGTTTGTTCACTTTTATTACCGTCTGTTATTTCATTACATGAATATACCACAATTTCTTTGTCTAGTCACCTGTTGGTAAACACTAGGGTTGTTTCCAACGTTGACCTCTTTGAATAAAGTTGCTATGAACAGGCACGCACAGCTCTTTTGCAGACATGTGTTTTCATTTCTCTTGTATAAATACCTATGAGTAGAACTGCAGAGTTATAGGGTGGATATATGGTTAACTTCATTAGAAACTGCCAAACCCCTTTCCAAATGCTATTTCTAACCCCCACCAGCAGTGTTATTAGAGATTCAACTGCTGTGTGTCTTTGCCAATATTTGGTGTTGTCAGTATTTTTTATTTTCGTCATTCTCTAAGGTATCTTATTGTGGTGCAAATTTTCCTTTCCCTCATGACTAATGATGTTGGGTATCTTTTCGTGTGCTTCCCAGCCATTCATAAACCTTTTGTGAAGCATTTAAGATTTTGCTCCAAACTCCTTGTTTCTAATGCTTATTTGGTTCCATTATTTGTTTGAACTGAAATGTGTGTAATTGAATTCTCTATTAATAAATGTTTAAATTGTCTCAACTTTATGTTTTTACCAACTAGCCAGAAATGACTGTCTCTATATACACTTTGGTGCCAGTGGGCCAGTATTTTCAGTGTGCTGCCTTTTTAGCCGAATTTTGGGCATTTGATGTAGGAAAGAGTGGGAGGATTTCCACATTTTCACCAAAACAAACTCTACATCTGGAACCATCCTGGTGCCTGAGTCATAGGTACACTTATGACATCATAACCCTGTCTCCTTCTTCCCTCTTCCTGCCGGGCTGTGGCTGGGAGAGCACAGACCTGGGGGCAGTGAAAACATTGAGCTCCTAATCATGGGGAATTTAGGGGATTGCAGACTGGAGGGGATTTGAACCATTTATGTCCCAAGTCATGGGCATTTGGTTTTGTGTAAGAGAGAGCCACCCAAAGTTACAGTCAGGGGAAGGTGGATTTGCACAGTTAACTCAGGGTGCCAGTCCTACATTTAGGGTCTCTGGGCAAGGCAGGAGGTTGAGTGTTTGGTGGATTTGGCACAAAGTTGTACAAAGAGCACCTACCGATACCTTTCCCCTCTAAACTCTGATTACAGAAGGATGGCCAGTTTTGTGAAATCACAATAGAAGAAGACATTGATGAAACCAGATCAATGAAGAAGAAAGAGAAAAAGAAAAAAATACAGCCTTCACCCACACCGCCACCCCCTCCACCAAAGGTGAGTGAGAGGTCCTCAAAGTTGAAGGTTAACTCCTAGTTGCAGCATCTCTGACCTGAGTCACTCAACAGTCATGGGTTGTCCTCTCTGTGCCCCATAGCATGGCATGATCCTGGAATTTGTCATCTGAACTAGGATCCACAGGTGAAAGATAGTGGTATCAATTATTCCTCAGGAACAATAAGCATAACCCCAGAACGTCCCTGGGCAACCAGGATGAATGGTTGGCCTATCCCAAGCTGGAGTGAGTAGGGATGGACTCATCCTTGATTATCTTCCCCTCTTAGTTCCTTCTCGGTCAGAGAAATGTGGGTGACTGAGGCACGGAGACTTGGTTGTAGGGAGGGGAACAAGTGGGGATCAGACCATGTCAAGCTGGGGAGTGGAATGGTGAGCCAGTGTAGGGAAGGCATTGCCACGAACAGGGAGAGCTGAGTGTAGAACTGTGTGGGAGCATGTGTGTGTGTGTATGTGCACACATGTGTGCATGTATGCATGCTAACTAAAGTCAAGGGTGTGAGAACCAAGAAGAGTGAAAGTGAGAAATGAGTAAGACTCATTCTCACTCAGTAAGGACTCCAGACCATGTGGAGCAGGGAAACTTCTATACTGTGACTTCCCGGAGGGACACAGCAGGTTGTGGGTTGGGCTGGAGTCAGGCATGAAAGGTGAGCAAAGGATGCCACTTCTCCAGCCTCCAAGTGGGATGTAAGGGAAGGGATATTGCACCCCAGGTAGGTGGCCAGGCCCATGTGCAACACGATACTTGATGTACTGGTTCCAGGCTGGCCAACGAGGTCCATGTCACCACGTGGTAGCTAGGACGTATAAGGGCCCTGAGATGCAGGGGACAGACAGTGTGACGTGTCCAGGTCCATTAATCAGAGAGGGGAAGAGACAGGACACCTATCTGGTCTACTGGCTCCCTGCCTAGTCTTCCTGAAATCCTGAGGAAGGGGACGTTGACAAAGGATCAGGAGCCATTCCTGGCACAGCCTGGAGCTGAGTTGGGTGGGGAATGTCCCCTGAGAGTCCCTTCTTTGTCTTTGCAACCTCTTCCCCCAAAGAAAAAGAAGCTCCCTGACCAAGAACAGAAAGCCATACAGATCCAGGCCTGGTGGCGGGGCACCCTGGTGCGCAGGACATTGCTGCATGCGACACTCAGAGCATGGATCATTCAGGAGTGGTGGAAGATGACACTGGCAAAGCTGCTGGAAAAGAGGAAACGAGCAGCCCTAGAGTCCTACGCTCAGCAAGAACGGGCAGTGGTCAAGCTACAGTCCTTGGTCCGCATATGGCACATACGCCAGCGATACTGCCGTTTGCTCCATGCTGCCCACATCATTCAGCTGTATTGGCGCTGGCATAATTGCCATAGCCGTGGCTTTTTCCAGGGCAGCTATGACCTCACAGCATCCCATCTGGGACTAGAACTCGAGATTTTTCTGGGGTCACAGATTTGTCAGATTACAGACTGCATCCCCTTCCCAATAAAGAGCTAATCAGGTCTGCTCCAACTCTGTGTCACCAGATCTCTGTCACAAGCTCCAGGAGGTCCTGTGTCAGCAAAGGGTCAGGGAAAATGATGGCAGATACCGGGCATGTCACGGTCAGCTCTGAGGAAGTGGCAGAGGTCATCTGGGGTCCCTTGTGGAAATGGATTCTAACTACCAGGTTCTGGGTGAGGGGGATCTGTAATTGATTAGCAATGTCTGCCATGGGTAGGAGAGTTGGGGATGCAGGGCCACCAACTCCACCAACTCCAGGGAGACTCCTTCACACTGTGGTCCATATAAATGGCACCTCCTATAGTTATGCCACATGGAGGTTGTGTCCCCTGATGCCCTTAATTCTTCCATGTCTTCCCATTAAATGTAGAACAATTCAAAAAGCCCTCCCATGGTCTAGATAAGCCTGCAGGGTCTGGCCCTGACCACGTCGCCCTCTCCATGTCCTCCTTGGCCCACCCTGCTATTCAGACCTCCCCCGCACATTCCCATCTCAGCAGTTTGCACCTGCAGCCTCCTCTCCTTGGATGCTCTTACCAGGTGGAGCTCCCCCTCCGTTCAGGTGTCTCCGTTCAGGTGCTCCACTCTCTCTCCTCAAGGAGACCTTCTTTGACCACCTTATTGAAATGCCTTCCCCACCTTACTGTACGCTCTAGCTCCTGACTCTGCTTTCCTCTTTTCAAAGTTCCCATCACTACCCAAGGTTATCTTGCCTCATTTTCTATTTTCTGTTGCCCCCACTAGAGGATGAGCTTCAGGAGAATAAGGACTCTGGGTTCAAATCTGTGTTCCCAGAACCTAGGTCAGTAGGTTCTGTTTCTTCATCTCTCTCCCTTTCCAATATGTTATTGTATGTATATTTTAGGTTTTGTATATCATGTCATTTTGTCATCTTAAAAAAAAAAAAAAAAGTCCCTTTCTGGGTTGGGAGACACTGCCCCGCCCAGGTCTAGCCAGTTAGTTCTTAGAGATAGCTAAGGACTCATCCCAGAGCACGCCTTTCATCTGCAAGCTAACCTATTCAGGGAGGTACTTCCTTTCTCTCTGTCCTCTACACCCCAGAGGGCTGTATTTCTCTGCCTTAATTATCCCAAGCCAGGTACTAGGCACCTGCCCACCCCCAACAGCTTAGGGGCCACAGAAAACACTCAAACCATTCTAAACTGTTACCCTTTCCTGCCTTGCCTTTCCTACTCCAACATAGGCCATGGGAAAAGTTTTTCCCTCATCCTTGTCTTCTGCCACCTGACAAAAACCTGATGACCCTGTGTGACATGCGATGACCTCTTCTTTGAGACATTGAAGTATAATAAACTTTATTTTGTGCTTCTATTTTCTTGCAGCTGCACCTGACTGATCATCACATGAAAGAACACAAAACATGAATATAATTTAAGTAAAATTCACATAACCATTTTTAGATTAGCCATATAATATTAACGATTAATATAAGACTAGGGGCGCCTGGGTGGCGCAGTCAGTTAAGCGTCCGACTTCAGCCAGGTCACGATCTCGCGGTCCATGAGTTCGAGCCCCGCGTCAGGCTCTGGGCTGATGGCTCAGAGCCTGGAGCCTGTTTCCCATTCTGTGTCTCTCTCTCTCTGCCCCTCCCCCGTTCATGCTCTGTCTCTCTCTGTCCCCCAAAAAATAAATAAACGTTGAAAAAAAAATTTTTTTTTTTAAAAATACAAAAAAAAAAAAAAAAAAAAAAAAGACTAAAAATTCAGTGGCCTTTAGTACCTTCGCCATGTTAAGCAACCACTGTCTTCTGTATCAAGTTCTAAAACATTTTCATGGTCCTAAAAGAAAATCCTGTACCCATTAAGGGGCACCTGGGTGGCTCAGTCAGCTAAGCATCTGACTCTTTATTTTGACTCAGGTCACGATCTCATGGTTGTGAAATCGAGCCCCACATCGGGCTCCGTGCCTAGCATGAAGACTGCTTGGGATTCTCTCTCCCTCTCCCTGCCTCTCTGCCCCCTCCCACTCACACACACTCTCTCTCTCAAAATAAATACATAAACATTAAAAAAAGAAAGAAAGAAAACCAAGGAAAGGGTTCCTGGGTGGCTCAGTCCGTTAAACGTCCGGCTGCTCAGTCATGATCTCGCAGTTCATGGATTTGAGTCCTGCTTCGGGCTCTGTGCTGACAGCTCAGAACCTGGAGCCTGCCCCTCCCATGCTCATGCTCTGTCTTTCCCTCTCTCTCAAAAATAAATAAACATTAAAATTTTTTTAAATAAATAAATAAACATTGAAAATAATTTTTAAAAAAGAAAAGAAAACCTTATACTCATTAAGCGTTAATTCCCTGGTAGCCCGTCCTCCTGCCAGTGGCAACTGCCAATCTGCATTCTGTCTCCATAAGTTTACCTACTCTGGACTTTTCATATAAATGGAATAATAAAATATTTTGTCTGGTTTTGAGGCTCATCCACACCGTAGTATGCATCAGTACTTCATGACTTTTTATAGCTGATTAACATTGTGTGTCTATACCAGCTTTTGTTTATCCACTCATTTTTTTTAACTTTTTAAAAAAATCTATTTATTTTGAGGCAGAGGGCAGGAAGGGGCAGAGAGACAGGAAGAGAGAAAATTCCAAGCAAGCTCCACACTGTCAGCACTGAGCCCCATGTGGGGCTCGAACTCACGAACCTCAAGACCATGACCTAAGCCGAAACCAAGAGCTGGACGCCCAACTGATGGAGCCACCCAGAAACCCCATTCCACTCATCTTTTGATAGATATTTGGATTGTGTGTACCTTTTGGCTACGTGAATAATGTCACTACAAATATTTAGCCACTACACGACATTACATTCCCACCAATGGGGTACAGGGTTCTAATTTTTTTACATCTTTTCTGACACTTTTTTTTCATTTTTGCAAATTCTAGCCAACCCAGTGAGTGGGAAGTGGTATCTCATTGCAGTCTGATTTACATTTCCCTCATGATGAATGATGTTGGGCATCTTCTTGTGCCTTTTGGTCATTTGTCCACCTCTGGAGAAAAGTCTGTTCAAACTTTGAGAAACTTTTCATTAGGTTGTGGCTGTCTTTTTGCAGTTTCAATAAACATTTATGTAATGAATGAATACACAATCCTACCAGGACTTGAATTTGTGGCTTCACCATGGTTCACAGCCTATTTTCTGGAAACAGCTGCCCCACCATCCCTGAATGAATCTCTCAGACAACCATCCTAGGTCCTTCATACCCAGTTGACATGTTATTCTAGGATTTTTGGAATTATTATGTCTCTCTGGCAATGCTTCCATGTGTGTATGTGTGTGTGTATATATGGGCAATGGAAGGAGGATCTATTGGTCTCGCCATTTCATCTACAGATACTGCTCTCTCTGTTGGTTTTCATCTCTCTATGTGTCTCGGTCTATCCCTCATAATTCTGTCTCTCATTATATCTATAATCTGTTCCTCAGTATCTTTCTCCCCCAGTCTGGGCCTCCCTCTGTCCTACACATTTCATGATGTCTCTGTTTTTCAATTCACTGGATTTTCTGGATCTGTACCTTTCTGGTAGAGATCATTAATAGCTAACCTCCCTTATATGTATTTCTTCTCTTCTAGGTCTTGCTTGCCCCTTATCCCTAAGAGCCCTAAGAGCCCCTCAAAGATGAGATGGAGAAGTCTCATGGAGGGTACCAATATGGTTGCTCCTGGATGATGGAGGCATGCACCTAACCTAAACTCAGCCTAGGACGTGCAAGTACTTAGAAATGTCAGAATATTTTATGCATGTGGCCACAGCGATTGGTTCAGGAATGAGTGCATGACATAAGTCAGGCCATTGAGTCTCTGTTGTGGTGCTGTATTGAAACTCCTAGGATTACCAATTATAAGGATTATGAAACCAGAGCTGCTAGGGGCACCACATGGAAATAGTTGAGAATGGAACTGACACAGAGTAAAGTGGATCCATCAGTTGCCAAGAGAAAGACTAAGCCGTGAGGATTCCTTTGGGCCCCTGGAGCCAGCCATGCCTGAAGCTACAACTACCTATACTATGGGAATTCATTTTGTGAGCCAGTAAACCTTCATTTTCACTTATGTCAGTTTGTTAAAACAGCAAAAAAAAAAAAAAATCACTAGATTGATAAACATTTAAATATTACTCAGGGATCAAAAAGAATGAAATCTTGCCATTTGCAACAATGTGGATAGAGCTAGAGTGTAGTATGCTAAGCGAAATAAGTCAGAGAAAGACAAATATCATATGATTTCACTCATATGTGGAACTTAGGAAACAAAAGGAAGTGCCTGGGTGGCTCAGTTGGTTAAGTGTCCAACTTCGGCTCAGGTTATGATCTCATGGCTGGTGGGTTTGAACCCCACGTTGGGCTCTGTGCTGACAGCTCGGAGGTTGGAGCCTGCTTCAGATTCTGTGTCTCCCTCTCTCTTTGCCTCTCCTCTGCTCGTGCTCTGTCTCTCTCTCTCTCAAAATTAAACATTAAAAAATTTTTAAATAAAAAAAAGAAAACAGGTGAATATAGGGGAAGAGAAGGAAAAATAAAATAAGATAAAAACAGAGAAGGAGGCAGACCATAAGAGACTCTTAAATACAGAGAACAAACTGAGGGCAGCTGGAGGGGAGGTGCCTGGGGAGATAGGCTAAATGGGTGATGTGCATTAAGGAAGATATTTATTGGGATGAACACTGGGTGTTACATTTAGTGATGAATCACTAAATTCTACTCCTGAAACCACTGCTACACTATATATTAACTAACTTGAATTTAAATTTTTAAAAAAGACTTAAATAAAATGTAAGGACAAAAAAAATTAAAAGAGATTGAATTTGATGTGAACTGCTTCTCAGAAAGTGGTTTTCAAAAATTAGTTTTTGAGTTAGAAACCTGACAGAAGGTGTGCCTAGGGAATTCTCAGGTAAGCGTGGGGTTATCTCTCATTTAATGAACCCAGGTCTTCTAATGCTGTGTAGTGTGGTGAAAAGGGAAAGTGCTATAGATTGATGGGTAAATCAGC